ATAAGCGCCTACATGCTTTTGTAGTGCTTCTGACTCTGTGAAGCAGGAGAGGGAATGCAAATAGGCTGTGTTCAAGACGACAAATGCTGTCGGAAATGTGAAACGTTGCTGATGAAACACAGGCTTTTTGAGGATGCTTCGCTTCTAAAAGTGGACATTTGAACTGTGATTCAGAAGCGGTGCAGCTGGAAAGCAACTGCAGTCGTCCACCAATCAAACTGATTAATTTAGTTTGTGTTTTCTCCTACAAACTTGCTTTTCTGACAATTTGTATTCCTACCTTGTTGCCCTTTCATCTCGCACTGCTGCTGCGCTCCCAAATCCCAGCCACTGCTCTGGCCAGTACAAAGTTATCAGAACCAGTAGAAATAATGGCACCAAAAATCCCGTGTAGACCAGAAAATTTTCTTTTGAGCTCTTTCCAAAAGCTCGGGTCTCTCTTTAAGTCAAGCCAGGGGCACTGCGGAGCGCACAACATTCAGAATCCACCGCTGTAAAATCAGCAATGTGACTCATGAAAAGTAGCTCTCGACTCCAACCGGCCCCCTCCTCCTCCTCCTCCTCCTCCTCCTCCTAAAAAAAAAAAAAAATCATTTAACCTAGATGTATTGTCATGGAGAAACATGCCACGCCGACTTTCAGTAATTTTTCCCGCATCTTCCATCTGACTGGAGGTCAAACAAGAGAGGATTAGCAAGCCTTTAATCCACGCAGGTGGTGGTGGGGTGGCCTTGGGCTGCTCCAGTCCTCTCGGTTTTAGTATGCAGGCTGGTTGGTTTGGAGAATTGGAGCACACCACCGCTCTGGGGGGATTTTAGGCTAAATAAATAGACAAAATAAAAGAGCTGGAATAAGAAAGAGTTTTATGGAGAAAGAGGTTATATTAGCTTTGTGATTGAGCGGGGAGAGTGGGACTCTGAGAAGGAGAGAGCAACACTAGGTGCAAGTGTTGTGGCATTTTTTTTTTTTTTTTTTTGTGGTGTTTCGGCTCTTAATTATCCCGTCCCCCAGTGTGCCGTCTCTCTTCCCAGCTCACCCACTTTCTTCATCTCCTTTTCAATTTTCTAATTGCATGATTTTAATTAAAGCCACACAGCAGTGACAGCGAGTCAATTAAAAACCAAGAAATGGGCACAGATAGTCAAAGCCTGCATGTTTTTTTGGGGGGAGCCAGGTGCTATTTCTAACTTGTTTTCAGTTTTACCCACAATACTGTCAAGCCTTAGGAAGAATCAACAAGCTGCATCCCTCCTGCATAAATACATGAGGCGAAATCTCACATGCTGGTGCCACATTAGGCCCCATAGTGTTTTTTTGGTGATGTGTAATAAGGGATTTGTGGCGCTTATGTTTTGCATCTGCATGAATGATATATTTATAGGACGAAGACTCCTGGAGTGCCGTGAAATAACACACACACACACCTCTTTTATTTATTTTTCACCATTTCCTCTCCCAATTCGTTTCTTCTCTCTTTCATTATTGTGGCATCACATCTGGTTTCGCTCCCTTTGTGTGTCATTTCCTTCCCCATACGAATCCCAGCCAGTTCCCCTCCTTCTAACTGCTCAATTACTGGATGTAGTGTAGCCTCCCGCTCCCTCTCTCTCGCCGCTTCCCTCATTTTCTTAATGATACCGCATTCCACATTTTAGAACTTATTTCTCCTCATCCCATCTTTTAATTATGCAGCAGCATTTTGGCTCCGGCTTCTAACGATACAGTCCGCGTCCTACCTGCTTTCATGCGGCGGATCTTCCAGCTGAATTGGGCCTCGGCTGTATGTTGATTGCTCCTAGATTTCCTCTGCACTGAGACAATTACAATTACGTCCCCGCCTTTGATGTGCTTTCCAAATAAGTGGGTCAACTCAGAAGAGAGTATCTGCGAGTCAGATACTAATTTACCCCAAAGTTGAGGAAAATCAAACAATTCTGTGTAGAACTCTCCACTGACAAGAAATGGCTGGCTGGAAATGCTCGCCACAGTTCTTGCTGCCCAACTTCTGAGTGCTGTTTATTTTCAGATCTGGTCTCTGTTCATCAATACACCGGCTGCAATGTCACTTGCTTTGAAAAGGCTTTGAGTTTTGCTGTGATTATCTGATTGAAGCAGGCAATAATATCGTAACCTGTCTGTTTCAAGTGCAAATGTTGAGCGTGATGTTTTTGGTGTTTGAAACGCAGTTTCAAAAAAGTTCTATTTGCAGGTGGAGAATTATCACATTACCACAACCTCACAAGCTAGCGAGTTTCCAAGAGTTGCTGTCAGCGAAAAACAGCTCGATAAGCTGTCATGATGGTGCCAAGGTGTGGAGACATGAGAACAGCTGATCCTTGACATGTTTTTGGTGTTGGATGTGAATGTCGTCATGGATTTTTCTCCAACAGAACAACTCTGGCCTCTTCTCAGCTCATGTTTTGACCTGTTTTTGTAAAATGTTGACAGATAGCTGATAGGTCTGGGTATCATCAGATAATGTGTGATTTATTTCTGATTTTAAAAAAGGAGAAACAAAGCATTACCGTTGTTTTTTTTTATTTCATTTTATTTCAAAAAACGAAATCTGTTTGAGGTGTCAGAATCAAAAAATGACGAACCAGTCAATTGGACTTTGGCAAGTAAATATTCATTGGAAAAGCAAAAACAGAAATCAGAGTTCTCCAGTTCTGGTTATTGTAAATTCAGTTTTTAAAAATTCATAGATAGATAGATAGATAGATAGATAGATAGATAGGCTGTATAAAGATATTTTCGTGTAGTTCTTCTCATTTTGACATTTAGACAAAAAAATGTGGAGAAAAAACTAAATTAGAAAGTTTTAGGCTTTTTGAAAATGAAGTAGCAACAAAAAAAAAAGAACCGTGTTTGATTGATTTTTCATATTTTTTATTCTGACATCTGAAACAGCGTTCATGTTTTGGGGTTTGAAACAAAGAACAGAGTGTTTTGATACGTGTTGATCCGACGGTACCCAGATCCTGATACTTGTCAGCTTTCAAAATCCAAAGCAGTGAGCACTTCGCGCACGTCTTTCAACAGCTTAAGCGGCTGGGTTGATATTTTGGATAAGCTCCAACTGTATTTACTTTCTTGCCAAGAGTAAGATTGAAAAGATCGATAGCACTCTCATGTAGATGAAAAGATCTATATGGTAAGTGTAGCGCTATCGCCTGCAGTTTGTTAGTGAAGATAAAATACAAGTTAGCTTGACTCTGGAAACAGACAACGAATTTAGTTTTTAATTAATGAGCTCTCATTTGTCAGTAATTGGACCTGGCTCATTACGTATCCCAATTTAAGTGTCATATCAAGCGGATGTATCAGATTGTAACCCATGATGCTGTTATAAGATCAGAGAAAGTCAAAAATGAACTAAAGCCGAGCAGTTTAACAACCAGTTTCCCACTTTTAACATTGGAATAGCTTATGAAAGTGAATCCCTGTTGAAATATTCGAACAAAATACAGCTTCAGTGAGCATTTTAAAGCTTGTCTTGTATCACACTGCAGTGATGGTACAGCATAACATTTACATAAACGTGTACAATGTTCCATCTGGCAGGGTTAAAAGCACAGCCGATAATGAAAATAGGAATGTATCCATAGGATTTATGCAATTCTGGGCACGTCACTTGACTAACATCATGGTTTCCCTTTTTTTTTTTTTTTTTTTCCTTTTGTCAAAATTACAGTGATGGATGTTTGTGTGCATGTGAACAAGCTTATTAGAAAATCCACACCCCATCAGCTCTGGCAAATAGTTACAAATGAATGCAGAGAAGCCTCATATTTTTTTCCCCCCTTGTTTATCATTTAACTTCTCATTCAGGTCATTCAAACATGAACATGGAAAAGAGAAAAATCATCATTTAGCTGACTTTGTGCTTGATTGTTATTCATGAGTTTGACTCGGAGTCCAGAAAAATCTACATACACACGTCTGGATGCGTTTGGCTCCATTTAAACAAAGATTTTGAAATGAGAAGAAGCGCTTTAACTGTGTGCTTCATCATCAAAGCTGCGGAAATTGGCAGGATTCTGGGTTAGGGCTAAGGTAGCATTGTGGTAAAACGTAGCGTGATAAAAATCTGGTGTAGCTCCTTTTTCATTCAGTTTAATCATCTTCACTGTTTCAGGAAAAAAAAAAGTAAAAAAAAAAAACCCCTATATGAAGGAAATCTAAAAACGGAAACCATTAGATGCAGAGAAAGTATAGCTATTAGATGTTCATTTAGGTGTTGGAACGAGCTGGGAGAGAGGTGACAACTGGTTATAGTGGTGAGCAGAGGAGCATCAAATACCAGATGCCAGACCTGCTATCAATTTAAATATAATTACTGAGTACTCTCCCATCCATGCATACAACCACTCCTTCTGTGCTCATTTATCATTGAGCAAAAATTGGAAAAAAAAAAAAAAAAGTTAAATTGAACACTTACTTGCGGATCAATTTCTATCACGTTGAGAGGAATTTAGAGAGGAAATAGAATTTATGTTCTAAAGGCCCATTAATAATAATAATAGCCTGGAATATCTACAGATTCCATGTGACACTTTCATTAATATCCTCGGTGCTTTTAAATGATTTATTGAACTGTAGTGCATCACACCACGGCTTGTGTGTCACCTCTGCGTTTCCTTTTTCCCTCCGGCAGGAACTTATTTCATGTACTTGTATATGTTGCTGATTTAAAAAAAAAAAAAAAAAGGGTTAATATTTACTTAAATCCTTGATGTGAACAGGAAGAGGAGATCCATTTGTTGGAGGCAGCTGTAGTTTAGCCTGCAGCGTCTGATCAGGGGAGACAGATTGCAAAGTACAGCAAAGATAGAGGGGGTAAACAGGAAGAGGGGGGGGAAGCTAAATTTGCTGACAGAATCCATTTCTGCTTTAAATGAAACAAAAAGAAGTGGAAAGCAAAAAAAAAAAAAGGGGATCGAGTCTCTCCAAACACGCCCGGCCTTATGTTCTCAATAATCAGACGCAGACTGCACCGGTAGACATAAGAAGATATAGATTTTAATATCTTTATAAACATTTTTGTACTGTTGTTCTTTGATGATAACTTACTGAACAGTTTTATTATGGCAAAGAAAAAGAAAAAAAAGAAAAGATGAGTAGGCATACAGTAGAACGAGAAGGAGGGAGGTGAGGAATTGTGCTTCGACAAATAAAAGGTTTCTAAAAATATAACATGGAAAAATACGTAAATGAAACGAATCACCAGAAAAACCAAAGATCGAAGCGCTCCTCCCGACAGGAGGAGCAGAAAAAACCCTGTTATCATCATTGATGTCACTGATATTGTTTTTTCTCATAGTAATACAGTAAATGATTAATATCAGCACTGCAAGAAGTCCTCTCGTCTCCGTCGTCACTGGTACAGTTCACGTCATCATCGATACAAACACCATCGTATCAGTACATTTAAGGGGAGGCACGAAAGCTTCCAGAAGTACAGCAAGATGTCCCGTAATAGTCCATCTGCCAGTCTGCGTTTCATCGCATCCTCTTATCACTTCAGAAGCGATTGTCTTGGTCTTAGATCCCCCGCATCCTTAGACAATCGCGTCAGTTAATAAAGAGGCGTAATTCTCGCTGCATGATCCCAGTTTTGCCATGCTCCATTCAGATTGTTCATTATCGAGTCATTTAAGGTACACGCACATTTTTATTTTTTTCTAGAGTCTTGTTCTCTTTCAAAGTTAAGTGATTGAGGAAAAAAAAAACGCGTTCCTCACATTCCCAATGAGGGCGGGGATGCTCTCACCGAGGAGGGATCAGTTCGACACAACCTCATCGGGAAACTGAGAAACCCCCCCTCCCCCTCCACTCCAATTAGACCATTCACCTCTAAGGCTCCTGTCGGCTCCCCCTCGCAGCAGGGAATCCATCTCTAGGTCCGTTTTGTGTCTTAAAAAAATCAAATGAACAACATCTGACACGAGATATAGACAGACTTCTTCGATATTCACAGCTTGATCTCCCAGAGACACACATTGTTTCCCAAGCAAATCAAAGTAGCGGATGGCAGTCATCATCATCTTGAAACAATTAGCAGCTTAATCTTCAGTTGCACAGAAGGAGTAAAGTGGTGTGAATGAAGATGTCAGAAAGAGTTGTGAACAGAAAGACTGTTAGGCAGAAGGTACAGTACCTGAAAAAAGCCAGCATTATATAGAGAGTAGGTGTTACAATGTGTTGCGGCTTCATACAGCGTATGAGCAGACTGCTTGTTCTTTTTATGGCCTTAAAACATCTGCGGCTATAGATTTTCACTCTGCAGTGAGAATGGCAAATCCCGATGTCTGTTATTGACTGACAGTTTATTGCCGTGCTTACGTCTTTGTTTATTAGAAAGACAACCAATTGTTCGGACCTGTTGTTTGCAAAGGATGCAACAGAAGGAAAGGATGAGAGCGAGATAAGACTTATGCTGGAGGCCTCACAGGTTCATCAACTTTCTATTTATACCTCCTTAATAACAAACTCCAAATTAAAGCTCAATGGAGCACATGAAGACCTAGCTCATTTGTTTCAGAGCCAACTAGATAGCAAGTTGAACCCTGCTTGCTCTGTCATCTCTTAATCTTTTGCTCTCTCTCTTATTTTTTTAATTTTTTTTCTACCAAATTTTGGTTATCTGAGCTCCAGCTGAGTGAAAAACAAAAGGAAACAAAAATATATAAGACACAAAGATGTGAAGAAATCATACTGGCATTGGCAGTGCAAGCTTGGTCTGCATTCACCTTTTGTCTTTCTCAGTCCCTCGGATTCCTGTGCTGTGAGTCTTTCTCTTGTAGATGTTTGATGCTTTGATACCTGTTTCAGTCTGAACAGTAAAGCTCCCTACACGACATTTACACATATAATCACACTCACGCACGTACATAAAAGACACCCAGGCCTTGTAGTGCAGGAGCAAGAGAGGGTCTGAGGGCTGTGTTTTTTCTTTTTGTGATTAGCATTCGCTAAGCCCTCTGAAGGTCAACGAAGAATGTAGTCAGTATTTGTCGCTATCAAGGCCACAAAGAGGGCGTAGACATGTAGTAAGGACTGGGATAAGGTCGCCCTATTGTTGGCTTGCTGGACCCCACTAGGGGGGCGAACAGTGGTCCGGGGGCACTTGTGCTTCCTCCGTGTGACCGTGCCATCTGGGGACGTGTGGTCATGTTTTCCCCCCTCCGTGAAATCTGGGGAAGAATCCTCCTTGTCTGCCATGACCTCTTTCGAGTGGTGAACCTCATTGTCACCCTTCCCCTTGCTCACCCTGTTGCGAGGCTTTGTGCAGTTCCGAGAACGGCCGGGCCTCGAGGGGTGAACTATGTGGGTCTGCCCTCCAGACCCCACTGCTACGCCACGATTCGGATTCACTGTCCCAGATAAATTGTTAGTCTGGGCTCTGGACTCGGAGTTGGGAACAGTTGGCGAACAGTTGGGGAAGTCCTCCTTGCGGAGCTCCTTGAGGTCTTTCCCAACCATATCAGCCGGCGCCTGGCAACCCACTGAAGACGTCGAACCTCGGAAACGTTTCAACCATTCCCACAGCGACAGAGCCTTACAGTCACATGACCAAGGGTTGTCGTTGAGGCGCAGGTACTCCAGGGCGGGCAGTTGGTCCAGGCACTGTCCGGACAGCTCTATCAGGGAGTTGTTGAACAGGTAGAGGGTGGTGAGACGTTTCAGGTCGTGGAAGGCCAAGCGGTCAACCCACTCCAATTGGTTTTGGTGCAGAAGCAAACGGTCCAAAGCTCGAAGACCTCTGAAAGTGTTCTGGTTCAGGCTCCACAGACGGTTTCCGTGTAGGAACAGGTGGCTCAGGTTGTGGAGATCCATAAATATGTCATCCTGCAGGAACTTCAGATGGTTATCCTGAGGAGATACAGAGAGTGAGCAATTACAACAGTCCAACATTGCTGTTGTGTGTTACTGTAACCTTTCCTTTTGAATACATGCCACAAAAACATTTAGTAATCATCATTATGCCCACAATGTGTCATGTTTGGACTACTGTTCAAACATGGAAACAAATCAAACACTGTTCCTGTGATCATCTGCTGTCATCTGTGTCTTGTACACAAGTGGGATTTGTGAAAATATACCTAAAGATTAGCTTGTTGCTTACTTGAAGCACCACAGTCACTAGGAATAAACAGAACAACATTTATTCTGCACCAGAGTTTAGGATTAAGCTGTGTAAATTGTGTTTAGATGAATTTAGGTATGTGTTAGTTCAGTTTTAAGTTTTTCGAATTACAAACAGATTGTGCAAAGTGTACCTGCAAGTAGAGATACTGTAGGTTTCTGAGGCCTTGGAAGATGTTATTGGGGAGCGAACTGAGCCCACAGCGGTACAGGTGAAGCGAGCTGAGCCGACTCAACCCGTGAAAGGTGTCCTCAGCCAAAGAGCGCAGGTGGTGGTTGTCTCCCAGATCCAGCTCCTCCAGCAATGTGAAGCCATGGAAGGTGGAGGGCTCGATGTACGTGATGTTGTTGAAGTAGATCCAGAGCGTGACGGTGTTGGTGCTGAAGTGGCCCCGTAGTAAACGGTGGATTTTATTGTACTGTAAGAAGATACGTTCGCTATCAGGAGGGATGCCTTCAGGCACCGACAGAAAGTTGTGGGATTGGCAGGAGACCGTGCTGGGTGCAGTGTAGCAGATACAGTGATGGGGGCAGGACCAGGAAAGCTCGAGCCCACAGAGAACCAGCAGGAACTCCAGCCCACAGCCTGCAGAGAGCAAGAAAGAAAAAAACGAGAACGAAGTCAGTGCAAAGTCAGGATTTGACATTTAGACTTAGTTCCTTCCAAACTTATAAAGGTTAAGAATATATGAAAGATTTACAGATATGCGGGTGAATCTGTGAGGCTGCATTTGCATCTAAAGCTGATATGAGCTTGTAACAGGCTCAACATGAAGGAGGAACAGGACAATTTTTTAGTGTTTGTATGCTATCGTTTGCTCTGTGGCAGCTCAGGCAATTGAGAATGTCTGAAACTTGTTTTAAAATTATAAAGCTGTAAAATTTAGTGTATTTGTAGCAAATTTAATGACAGTTTGTTCATTAAAATACTAAATTCTTAAACTTATCATCATGGTATGTATTGAAATCAAACAACATTGGCCACAAAAACAATCCACAGCAAACAGATTTTGATCTGAATCCAACATCTGATTCTGTGCCAATCAAGCACATGCATTGCTCATCATGACTCCATTTTGTGCTTTGTTTTCACAAAGCAGCGACATTGTCTCCTCTGATTGTTTCGACTCATGGCACAGAACGCGCTACACATATGGACCCTCTCGCTCACAGTTTACATCCCCAATTCACTGAGTGTGTTTAGGCCCACAACGAGGAGTCTATTGAAGACAGCAAACAATAACACCTGCTCCACTGAGTCACAAGATGTCTCAGTGAAGCCGACTGGATCCCTGGTGCCACACTCTTGTCTGATTCAACACATGCAGCTATTGCAGAAAATTTTTTACCCTTTCCAATCCTCTGCCACCTTCGGGAGATGTGCTATTAAGAGTCCAATCCCTTCCCTGAGTCCATTGGCAGTTCTTTGCGGGGAGTGGAGGCTGTGATCAGTCCGTTTGTGTTGTTAAATGGGGCGTGCAATGCTTATTTAAACTCGTAGTAAGCTGCTCTGAGGCGCTTTCTGATCAGTGACATGATTCCCCAGATCCTTGAAATGGGAGATGTGACTTATCCACAGTCTCATCTGAAATGAGCACAACTCGGAGCCCATCATGAAAGTTCCATCTGACAACCCCTGGCTGTCTCCCACTCAATTTATTATTCACAGCATAGTGAAGGCTTGATTCACTGCCGCTAATCGATATGCCTCTGTTGCCTTTTAACTCACCCTATAATCCTGGGTCTTTTATGCTGGAAATTCAGGAGCAGAATTACTCTCCACCAAGAGACAGGCCTATTTACCTGGATGTATTTTCTTGCCAAACTGTGGCTAAGCTGTGACATTCAGCGTCTGACTCCACTGACCTTTAACAGTAATTCTCTGTGTCTAGTTGCAGAGCTGGAGCAGGGAGCTGTGTGCCACCTGAACAGGAGTGTGCTCTCTCGGGCACGGATCTAATCCTATTTGTTAAGCCCTGCCACTGGGCAACAATGGAAATGCATGCATCCTCCTAAACCAGAAATGTGCTCACTAAATGAGGTGATTCTTCACGGTTGAACACTGTCAAAAGGTTGAATGTGAGTGTGTGCTCATGTGTGCTGGTATGCAGGTGAATATGTTGTGTTAGAGAAACCGTGACATGCCACGAGAGAGCTACAAAAGGCCTTATCTTTATTTAGACCTCTGATTTCACCGCTGTGACCCGCGCTAGGACATGGATTCTTTAGCATATTACTGGCTGTATCGGGATTTGTCACGCCGTCGCGACCAAACAACAATGATGTTTCACTGTTTCGTCGCTCTGCAGGTGTTTTTTTTTTGTTTTTTTTATCTCAATCTTTCTCCCTGCTTGCCATTTCCATGAAGATGTATCAAGCCTCACACCTGCTGACAGAGTAAATGGGTGAAAATGTCTTGCATTACTCTTGGGAAATACAGGTTTTGCTTTATTTATCAGACAAATAGGACGAGACACAGTAAATTTTCCAGCTGCTCTTTTGAGGTAAATTTGCATTAAGCGGCATCCACCAGGTACCGGAGAAGCAAGCCTCCTATTCATTTAATTTGGTTTGGTTCACATTTTATTAGCGTAATGACCCTTACTGAGGAAGCACGTTGTAGAAGCAAAACAAAACAATCCGTTTTTCTTTTCTTTTTTTTTTTTTTTTAATATTTGTATTGAGATTAGATTTCAATCACCTCTTTTTTAGCAGGAATTCATCCAAGAGATTCCATTATTCATAAAGCTGATCTTCTCACTCCAGTAATTATTTTTTTTTGAGGCCTTAAACTATTTCCATTAACACCTTACTTCATGCATGTCTTCAACAGAATTAGGTAGCAGATTTCGAACAGGGAAATGATCTGAGCGGGCGAGAGACAGACAGTGATAAGCATGATACAGGAGGAAAGCGAGGCGACGAGAATGTAGATGCTGCCGAGATAGTGAGACAATTTGAATCAGTGATCTGCTAATCATATTGGACACATAAGGATGCGCCTCCTCTCCTCTCGCTCTCGACAGCTTGTCAGGACAAAGTAATAGATTCTTTACCCTGCTAAATTTGTTCCTCTAAAATGGCTGTTTTTTTTTTGTTTTTTTTAAACCACTTTGCCAAATATTGTACCTTTAGAGAAAAAACATTAAGTGGGGGGAATAAAAAAAAAAAGTCATGGCAAGTACAGCTTTATGCTCATTTCCTTCCCTTTGCATGCATTTTTTTTTAAACGTTATCCAAGATGAGGCTTTAGGCAACTTGGACATATGATGCGGATTCTCTAGAGATGCAAAAAAAAAGTATCTCGTTCACTCTCTTCTTCATGCAGATTGAGAGTCAAAGGAGCATCAAACACCTTTTTCCTTGTTTTCAGACACGCTCTTTTGCAGCTGGCATGACGTGCTCTTCCGCTGGAGACCCAAATACCTGCCAGCTCACTGATCACGGCGCCGCGTGCTTTTGCACCGCTAAACACTACATCAAATACAGATGTTACCATAAATGCGCATCGCCCAACATAACACCCCATAAAAAGTGGTTTACTGCATGTATATATGGACACTCTCAAGCATTTAAAACACGCATCAGGTTTAGGAATAAATGAGGCAGATCATGTCAGTGTGACAAGCATAAGAAGGCTGACTGACTCCTGCTTACAGAGCTTTGAATAGACAGACTGGTTTTCAGCACAGAGGGAGGAAGAAAAAAAAAATCTGTATTATGTGCGAATGCTGTCCTTAAATGAAAATGTAAGAAATTAATGTGTGTCATAACTGCATTGTGAGCTCACACAATAAGCCATTCAGCTCAGATTGTATTATATAAATAGCTTTGGACATGACGGAGCATATATATGCCAATAGTGCCTATTGGAATTTGGCAGAATAAAGGAGAGGTTCCGAAAGAGAGATAATGTGTTTTTGGAAAGGAAAAGGCGCAGCTATTTCTGCGAGGAGTCTGGCCTGTGTATTAACGCTCTCATCGTAAGTCTTTCACCTCCAAGTCTCTCCCCGTGAAGTTTCCCATCACAGCCTTTCCCTTCGCTGTACTGGCGACTGATGACAGAAACTACTGATATCTCCTCACATGGAGAATCACGTTTGACTCCGTGACCCCATCATCGCAGAGTTCCGTTTTTTTTTTTTCCCCCCCTTCGGGTGGGTGTAGGAATGGAAATAGATAAATAAATGAATAAAACAGAATGGTGCGGGTCCCCTGACAGACAATGAGAAGTGACTGTGTGGAATATCAATGAAACATAGTTCACACTATTTGCCCTCATGAATAACACATCTCTGCTAATAGGAGAGAAATGGTACGTCTGTAAAGCTGCGTGACTCTGCCCATCATTAGACTGGACAAACTCAATTTCCTGTGTCTCTCCGAAGACCCTGATAAGCACCCTGGTGTTTTTGCTCCCACCATTGGCTGCTCCTAAATAATGTCTCGACTCACTCCACACTCAAAAGGTGTTTGCAATCATGCTCACGCACACAGCAGTAGAGCAATATATTAGATTATTGATTAAACGGGCCCATTCTTTTGAGGAGCATGGCTTAAAACTCCGCTGACAAATAGTGTTATTATTTCTCCATGGAGCTGTGGATAACTATATATTATACTCTGTATTATTCCAGAAGATGTTTTGTATCACAATGCTGATTTGTATCTGTTTCTTTATGTCAGAAAAAATATCTGTATTTGGATTCATGCTGCAAGCGTCACAACAGAAGTTCTGTCAGAAGTTCACAAAGTTCACTGATAGTCATCTGGATTGCTTCAAGTTCTGTGTAAAATGGTTTTCTCCTGCCATTTATTCACACAATATTTACAAGTGTGAACTCGTCTGCTTTGAAAAACGACATGCTATGTGCCATCTAACTAAACAGATCCAACGTCGTTTTGTTTTGGCCACATCTTCTAAAACTAAAACAGGTTTTAACAGTGACACCTTTTGCATGTTGTTTCTGGAGGCTGTAAATATGACTAGAAGAGGCCTAGATCAGTGTAAATCCTGCCTTTTACAAGCAATTCAGACAGCACTGCCAAGTCATGTAAGGTGCCAGACTTCAATCTGAGATCATGTGGTAAAAATAAGCACATTAACTGTTAACTAATTTGGATTCTGATCATATTTTTTTCAGAGTGCCACATGAACACATGATTAGATATAAACACATAGACTTCAACAGACCTGGAAAAATCCAACAATATTGGTCTCTCAAGACCACAATAAGTCTTAATGTCTATAAACGACGGACATTTAATCATATATAAAATCGTTTGCTGCCTGTATTCGTTTATGGCTGTTGCGGTCTGACAGCCAGCTGAACAATGCGGCTGTGAATAAAACAGCAGCTCCTGACATTTACAGAATGGGTTTGTGATTACATATTTATTTTAATTAGCAACGTTGGAACAAAAGCACAAATGCAAGCGTTTATTCTTAAAGGACAAATAAACAGCAATAATGGCACAAAAATGACACTTAAACTCGAGCTATTTCTCATTAGCATTTTTAAAGAATTTCTCTGTTGACTTGTTAAAAGTACTGATTACTGCCATTATTTTCCGACTGAATGGCAA